AGCCTGTGATTCTCTGGTGAAGGAGAAAACCACTTCTAGAGACTTATGTAGAAGTTTGTAAATGTTCGGGGGTCTCTCCTGGAGACCTTGGGCATCCAAGTTGCCCAGTGTTAAAAAAAAAATCATCTGACTCTGGCTACAAATTCCATTCATCTGCTTGGGAGGCTGCTTCAAGGCCATCAGGAAAGCAGGGACCAGGACAAAAAGGCTTGCCCACAGCAGAAAAGGGCACACAGCAGTTGCAGATGTCCTGAGTTTGGTATCCCATCATGCTTTTGTGTAAGATCAGTCAGCATCACAGAACTATACATTTAAAAAATAATAATAATTCCAACTTCTGTTTTAGATGCAGGGCGTACATGTGCAGGTTTTTTACATGGGTATACTGCATGATGCTGAGGTATGAGGTACAAGTGATCTGATCACCCAAGTAATAAGCACAGTACCCAAGAGTTAGTTTTTCAACCTTTGCCCCCCTCCCTCCTTCCTCCCTCTAGAATCCTAGATGTAAGCCACCCTAGAGGTCACTGATACAGTCTTCCACCAACTGTAACTAAAATGTTAAGGGACAACCAGTTTATTTCCCATAAAGGCAATCCAGTCTGATCCTTTGTCAGACACAGTTCTACCCTATGTTGAACCAAAATCTGTCATTTCTTCCCCAGTACATGGGTCAGCAACCTTAGGAGTGACTCTCATATGTTCCTTGGCCTTATTTTTACTTAATACACTGAGTCTCTTTAATTATTTATGATTTAACAAGCTAATTACTCTCCTCAAGTTTCTCTCTCGTTAGTCCTCAAATGTATCATTTAAAATTAGCCCACATATTCTAAATGTGCTCGGACCAGGGCAAAAAAAAAAAAAAAAAAACTGAAACTATAGTTACACATTAGGGACACTGTAGTTCTATTAATGCAGCATATGTCTGTTTTGGCTCCTGTTGGGTTTATTGCCAACTATAACCCCACGTGGAATTCGCTCAAAACAGGCACCATTTCATACAATTACAATTGAATTTTGGGAGATGATGGTTAGATTTCATCTTGCTGTCTTTGTGCAGTTCTGCTAGCTTGTCAAAATCTTTTTGAACATTGAGAGTATCCACTGCCACACCAGCCTTCCTTGCCAGGTTTGTGTCATCTGTAAACCAAATAAACCTGCCTTCTGTGTCTTCATCCAAGTCATTGATAAAAAGGTTAAAGATATTAGATCAGTCATTCACTGAACAAACACTTATCAAACACCTACAATATATATGTATGGTACTCAAGACAGAAACCAGAGGAGGAACTGTATTTGTACTGGGGCAGATCCTAAAGTTGTCTGCTTTCTGTTAACAATGATGTGGACTTCATTCCATGAAGATTTAATTCAACTAATTAGGTACTTCTTGATCACTTACTCTTCTCTTGACATCATGCTAAGCTTTGTTAAAGGAACAAAGGAACCAAAAGCTACAACCCTGTTCTCTAGAAGTTTGTCTCTTAGTAAAGAGGCAAGCTTTGGCACACAAAAAAATTTATGATACAAGAAAAGCAGCATTGATACAATTGACAAAATGAGTAGTCCAGGTAAGATATTTGATTCTGGTTGAGACTTTAATGTCACTTCATTTAAAACTACAAAAATAATTACAGGTTTTTAGAGTTGAAAGGGATAACAGAGGTCTTCTAGAACTACCCTCCCCTCCCACCTCATCAATATTACTTTGAATGAATGGGGAGTGCTGTCTCTTGAGTAGTTTTACTCTTTGTTAGATCTAATAATTAGAATGACATTCTAGCATTTCCTGTGTTAAATCAAAAATTACTTCCCTGTACCTTTCTATCTACAGTGTAAACACTCAATAATTTTGTTGAATAATTAAATGAATGAATTATAATTCTGTTCTCTGAAACTGGAAAAAATAGGTCTGATCAAACCATTTGAAGACAATTATGTCCTCATTCAGTCTTGACTTCTCTATCCTAAACATACACAATTCCTTCATTTGATATGCTTTTGAGACCTCCCCATCCCCACATCATTCTTGTCATTCATATTCTGACTCTGTGCCTGGCATAATACAAGCACTCAAGATATGTGTACTGAATGAATAAACTGGAAAGCTCCAATACGTCAATATCAGCCTCAAAGAGAAATTTCCATAACTGAAGGTATTGCTGAAAATGTGATCAGAAAGTGAATCTGTTGCAGTTCCCTGGTACTGAGCATTATAATTTTATTAATCTGTAAATGTTGCTTAGATCAGATAAGCTTTTGCTATTGCCTTTTTTTTTTTTTTTTTTGCAGAGGTAGGGGCGTGGAGCCAATCCACTAATGCCTCGTATTGATTTTGTAGTGAAGTAAAATCTGTAAACCGTTGACACAGGGACTACTGAATAACTTAGTGATTAAGCCTCCAAACAAATGTTTATCAGGAAAGGCTAGACCGCAGCATTTATTTCTATGTGAGAAAGCATATCATATGGGTTTCTATGTGAGAAACCCATATCAAATGAAGGGATTATGTATGTTTAGGATAGAGAAGTCAAGACTGAATAAGGACATAATTGTTGCCTTCAAATGATTAGATCAGACCTATTTTTTCCAATTTCAGAGAACAGAATTATAATTCATTCATTTAATTATTCAACAAAATTATTGAGTGTTTACACCGTAGATAGAAAGGTACAGGGAAGTAATTTTTGATTTAACACAGGAAATGCTAGAATGTCATTCTAATTATTAGATCTAACAAAGAGTAAAACTACTCAAGAGACAGCACTCCCCATTCATTCAAAGTAATATTGATGAGGTAGGAGGGGAGGGTAGTACACATCTTTCTATGGTCATGCTGGTATTCTGATCACCATAACACCTAAGCCCTTGGGAAATTAGAAATTCTACAGGATTCTAGGGAGGAAGTCTAAGAGGGTGGACACAGCAAGATACCTGGAGGAAAATGACAGGATAAGTTGACCTTTTAATACCAAGTGGTATACCCATTAGAATGGGCCCAACTGCCCCTGAAGAAGATACTCCATAAGTTGGTACCAGTGTTCCTGACAAGGAGAAATTTCCCTTAAATCAAAATAATAAATCCAGGAAAACCTAAGGCCAATAACACCAGTAGAAGTTGGGGCTTTCCTGATGTCAGCTTTCTTAAGGCTGCAAGCAAGGCCAGGCAAGAACCAACCTGGAGGTAAAGGGAGCAGAACACGGCTGCTACAAAGATGCTAACACTGTCTAGTGGATGTCAAGCACCCGCATTTATTGAACGCCAGGCTTTTTATATGCATTCTGTCTCATTCTCCAACAATAAACCTGTTAGTAGGTGTGATCATCACCATTTTATAGCTGGGAAGATTGAGGCTTAGAGAGATTCCAAAATTTGCCGAAAGTCACAGAGATATAGTGATAAAACCTGGTTAAGGCATCCCATCTGTCTGTCTCCAAAGCTTTTGCACTTAAGCACCATGCCATGATGCTTTTTTCTTATGTGTTTATTCACTCTTTAACAAAGAGTTTATCAGGCACCCTCAGTGCTCCATGCCTGTGCTAGGCCTGGGAATACAGTGGTAAATAAGACACACACTGTCCTTCACAGAGTTTAGCACTCTGAAAAGAATAAGAAACAACCAAACATGTAACTACAATGAAGTAAATATCCCAGTAGCAGAAGTTAAGGGTAAACTCACCCAGCATGAGGGATTAAGAGACCTTCCCGATAAAGTTGCCTTTAGAGGGAAGCTTAAAGGATAAGCTAGCAGGACAAAAGAGAGAGGGAAAGAGGCAGAGAAGGAATAGACTTTTAAGATTTGAGAGTGGGTGAGACACACTGACAGGTGCTAGGGCCTAGTAAGGCTGGAGTGAAGGATGGGAGTGATCAGAACCTCCCAAACAGGCCAAAGATATGGATAGAGTGAGGTTACAGGGGGCTTGGAAATGGACTGGAATTGGCAATGGTAAGAACTAGTAAGGTCACATAGATGTGACCTAATTGGATCTCACAGATTCCTATGGATAAGAGGAATGCTGGAGCTGTGTGGACCAACACTCCAAAAAGGCATTTCATGTTGAATGTAGTCAGTGTTAATTTAATGTAATTTGTCTGGCCTTGCGAAGCCTGCCCTGTAAAATCTCTGAACCTCTCCTGTCTTCTCTCTTTCGCCAACCCTCAAGGCAATAAGAGGGAGGGTCAAGTGGCTGATGAGGAGAAAGAACAAAATCATTCTAGTGCCTTTCTTTATGTGACCTGCTAAGCCTTAGATAGATTCCATCTTTCCCACTTGACAAATGAGGAAACAAAAGCTTAGGACAGTTTGGTGATTGTGGTAGACTGAATTATTGGTTCCATCCATCATTCTCTTTAAAAGTATTATGTATCTATACCTGGGCAGGGGTTTGTGGTGCATGGAGTGTATTTCTTCTCCTCTTGACTTTGGATTTGATATTGCCATTTGCTTTGGCCAATGGAATATTAGCAGACATGATGTGTGCGGAAGCTTGAAATGTGCTCTGTGGTTGGGCATGCCTTCTTGCACTTTTACCACTCTCCGAAGATCATGCCCTGCAGCTGCTGCTCCTCAAACCTGGATCCTGGAATGAATGGCACAGAGTATTCCTAAACCTTGTCTACAGCCTGGAGCTAAGCTCAGCTGAGATCAGCAGACTCCAGGTAACTGGAAGCCTGAAGCAAAGTCCAGTTAACTCCAGTTAACCCAGACACGTGTGTGTGTGTGTGTGTGTGTGTGTGTGTGTGTGTGTGAGAAGTGTTTATGGTTGTATGCCATGGAATTTGAGGGTAATTTGTTATGCACCATCGTCATGGTAATCGCTGACTGATGAGAGATTACTCTGAGCTTACAAAGAAAGTTCCTGGAATACACAGAACTGCCTTGCCATGGAGCTAGGCTGCCCTGGAGGCTGGCCCTCTAGGGAAGAAACAATGCAGACAGCCACCCAACTCCACTCTACCCACCCCACCACAGCCCTGTCCGCCACCTGGCACTCACCTGAGTCTGAGGCTGCTGGGCTCACCAGGCTGAGCAGCTCTCGCTCCTTCTCATAGTCCCCTTTGCAGAGCAGCTGCCCCTCCTTCAGAACAAACTCGTCACCCTTCTGAAGCTGTCGCTCGCAGACACAGCAGCAGAAGCAGCTCAGGTGGTATACACTCTTCTGGGCCCGCATAACAAACTCATTGGGAGCGATGGCCTCGAAGCAGCCCCCACATTTAACAGCAAACAGCCTGGCAGCAGGAAGAAAGGAAGTACATGCACCATGAGTAAAATCTGGCTTGGTCCTGGGTCACCCCTGAAGTCAACAGCAAAAGGAGTTTCAAGAACTGGGATATGAATGTTAGAATGGAATGTACTTTAAATCCAGGTTAGTTATTCCCTATGGATCTCCCCTTAAGTCAACAGCAAAAGGAACTTCAAGAACTAGGATATGAATGTTAGAATGAAACGTATTTTAAATCCAGGTTATTTAATCCTTAAGGAGATTGCATTGAAGCATGCAGTTGAGTCACTCAAAGACTGAAGAAGGGTGTCTGACTGGATAAAGGAAATGTGGTACATATACACCATGAAATACTATGCAGCCATAAAAAGGAACAAGATCATGTCCTTTTCAGGGACATGATTGGAGCTGGAAGCCATTATCCTCACCAAACCACTGCAGGAAAAGAAAACCAAACACCACATGTTTTCACTTATAAGTGGGAGCTGAACAGTGAGAACACATGGATAAAGGGAGGGGAAAACACACTCTGGGGCCTCTCAGGGGGTGGGGTGGGGGGAGGGAGAGCATTAGGAAAAATAGCTAATGCATACTGGGCTTAATACCGAGGTGATGGGCTGATAAATGCAGCAAACCATCATGGCACATATTTATCTATGTAACAAACCTGCACATCCTGCACATGTACCCCAGAACCTAAAATAAAATTAAAGATTAAAAAAAGAAGAGTATCCGAGTTAATGCCCAGAATTTATTTGCTGTGGTTCATGACACAGTGCTTTCAAAGGTTGGTCTACAGACTGGCACCAGGCAAGCTGTTCAGAATCCCTAGGGGAGCTTATTAGTTAAATTATTTCAATCAGCAATAATAATAATAAAATTGTCCAGGCCCACTCCTGTGAGAGTGTAAAAGGATGTGCCCCAGAATGTGAATTCTTAACAAGCTCTTGAGATGTGTAAGAGCTTAGATGTGTAAGCTAGTTTTTGAGAAATGGCATCCCAACTTCCCAGCCTGATATTCAATAGATTCAGCCTATCTCTCAAGACTTAACTCTTCTTTCATTTATTTTCAACAAAACAGTTAGAGTATCTATTATATATGCCAAGCCAAAAGCAGTAAGTACTAGTGATGTGAAGATGAATAAAGGAAAATCCCCCTCAGAATTGAGTTCAGGCTAATGGAAGAGATAGACATATCCAGATAATTGAAGTAGAGGGCTGTGGGAGTACAGAGCGGGAAATAACTAACCTGCAGGGAGTGAGTGGGGGGTGCATTTAGTATGTATTCAATAAATCTAAATCAAACAAAAGACAGGAAGGAAGGCAGGCTGGCAGGCACAAAGGGGTGGGAGGAGGGACATTCCCAGGGGAGGGAACAGCCTGTGTAAAGGCCTGGAGCCATGAACAGGCATGGATGCCCAGGTCGTAGGGTGCACTCCACCAAGTTAGAGGCAGGTACCTCCAAGAAGGTGGCAGGTGAGGTTAAGTCATGACTCAATCACACAGTAGGGAGCTGGACATCATCTGGCCAGCAATTGGGAGTATCGAATGGCTTTTTTTTTTTTTTTTTTTTTTTTGAGACACAGTCTTGCTTTGTCACCCAAGCTGGAGTGCAGTGGCGTGATCCTGGCTCACTGCAATGTCCGCCTCTTGGGTTCAAGCGATTCTCCTGCCTCAGCCTCCTGAGTAGCTGGGATTACAGGCGCACACCACCACGCCCAGCTAATTTTTGTATTTTTAGTAGAGATGGGGTTTCACCATGTTGGTCAGTCTGGTCTTGAACTCCTGACCTCAAGTGATGCTCCCACCTCGGCCTCCCAAAGTGCTGGGATTACAGGCATGAGCCACCTCACTAGGCTTGAATGGTTTTTTAACATGGTAATATCCAAGTTCTGGAAAAGGAGCTCTTGGCTATATGAAAAGTGGAGTAGAAACAGAGGTAGTGAGATGAGTGAGCGACTGGGAAATTATCAGGGTCAGGACTCATGCAGCAGAGGCAAGACAGAAAGAAGGGGGCAGAGCCTACAGCTGGGAGATAGGAAAGCATGGGGCATGGCTCCCAGGGTCCTAGTGGTCAGAGCTGGCAGGTAACGATAATGCGAAGACTCCAATATACAAAATTACTTATTTCCTACCTCCGGGACTATTTATTCATTTCCCCATCCTAGAAATGATGTTTTCCTGTTTAACTTATCTGAACCCAAACCACCCTTCAGGACACAGCAGCTTCCATCTTCTCCTTGAATCCTGCCCTGATCTGTGCCCCCCAGCCTGAAGTGACTGCCCCTCCTTTGAATGATGATACCAGGAACTATCTCTGTGGGTCATTCCACAGTTCTCCGGAGATGTCTCAGAACTACAATATGAAAAGTGGTGGGCACTGGAGGCCTGTGCTCTGCCGCCAGCTCTACAGAAAACCCTGCAAAATCTTGGGCAGGTTGTTTAGCCTGCGCCTTCATATCTCCTTTTTTCTGTCTGTTATTAAGATGTTAGGCCAGTCTCCTCCAGCTACAAAAATTCTACCATCAATTGCTTGCAACTGCTGGCTCAAAATATTATCTTACTCTTGCCTTATTATTTTACTTTTCCCATGTTTATAACTTATCTTGTCAACAACTCCTATTTCAAGAACAAGGCCTATGGAATATTTATATACACTCACATATGGTGGGTGCTCAATAAAAGTTGATTTTATTTGACTCGTGGATCTAATTTGTTCACCCTCTTTCTGAAATAACATAATATATATAAACAGCCTAGCATATGAGCTGACACATAATAGATATCCAATAAAGATGTCTCTCTTCTCTTCCTTGTCACTCCAGAGAAATAACAATTCAGGGTAACCTACGAGAAAACTAAAATTTGAAGCAGATCCCTCTGTTTCCTTTTTCTTTTTAAAATTGCTTGATGATACCATAATTGCATTTGTCAAAACTTTGGCATAAGCACAGAGACAATATACCCTAAGAATATCTCTGGGATTCATTCACTATAACATTCATTTTACTATTTCCAAAATAAAGAGGTTTTTTTTTCTTTTTTAAAGTAGTAGCAAAATAGAGGGGAAAATACTTTCAAAAACACTCTGTTTATCCCCACGTGCCAGAGGGGTCAGTAGATATGGAAAGGTCAGATGGTGTACAGGAGAGAATGTCAAGGGGGCACAGAATGGCCAGAGAGAGCAGATAAAACTCCACACCACTCTCCTCTTTATAAAGCTAGATACGAACTGACTCAGAGCCTATCCAGGGAGCTGAGGCCACCGTGCTCTGCTGATGAGCCCCACCCCGGCAGGAGCTAAGAAAACAGGAACAACTGAAGAGCATTTCATATAGGCAGGCCAACTACCATGATGGCCTAAGCATTGCCAATGCATTCACTCAAAATCTCATTCATGTACTCATTCAATCATTTATTCATTTCATTCATTCTTTCATTTATTCAGAAGCATCCACTATGCACCCTGCAATATACCACACTTTGTGTCTTTACAGGAAGAGGAGGAAAAGAAACCCCCATCCAAACAGCATTCATGTACATAAACAAGTACATACTGAGTGTCTGTTATGTGGTAGGCATTGTTGTAGGCACAAAAGGATACAAGACAGACAAATCCTTGACCTCATGTAGCACACGTGCTAGTGGGAGAGACAGTAAACAAACACATAAATGAATAGATAAATCATGTCTAACCTTACGGATTTACCTTTAGGGAACAGAATATAAGAACAATATAAAGCAATGTCCCATGAATATAAAATAGAATGGCATAAAGCTATCGTATATGTAACTGTAATATTTAATCACCTCCCAACTCTAAATTGTGCTGGTTTATGATTCTAAGTCAATACATGTGCCCTGTGTGTTTACCTTGGAAGCTTCCTGGAAGAAGGCAAGAGTTTTGAGGGTGGAATGAAGGGGAAGCTAAGGAGAAGTTCCCAGGGAGGCATTACTCACAGGTTGACACAAAAAAGAGGGCCATTCAAATTATTTGAGTGAAGGAAGGCAAGGCTTGGAAAAGATGATGAAGCCACCTCTCAGGAAACAGCCTCCTGGGACAGGGGCCAGGCTGGATGATTGGAAGTGCATGTGCTGTCTTACTTTCAACAAAGGCCTTGAAGTACCACACCAGTTCTCCCTGCCCTTGGCCATCAGAAGCGCCTCAGAATAACCTATCTCGATATGCTTCTCCTCTGCCTCTCAGTTTCAGCAAGGAAGTGAAACTGGGGGACAGTCCAAGGGGTTGGAATGGCTCGTTTATCACTAACAGTTATGGTAGAGCCTGGAACTCCAGGTTCCAGCTGCCCTTCCCCTGCCCTCTCACCCAGTGCAGTTTTTCTCTCTATGTCTAAACCTCTGGCACATCAGCCCTTTGACTATTTGCCTTGACTCCCTCTCCCCTATGCTGGATACTGTCATTGGGCAGAAAATCCACCCATTTCACCCCTGGGCCCCCAAGTCCCCGGTTGCTGTTTGCCAACCTGAGCAAACTAATCAATGCTTTTCCAGGAGCTGGTCAAAGGCCCTTTGTCCCCAAGCCCTCCTTCTCCTCCCCTTCCCCTGGAATTAACTGTTAAACAGACTCAAGGCAAATGCTCCCAGGGAGTCAACAAGCACTTGAGAAGCTGCAACAGCAGGTGGTAGCATCTGTGCTTGTCTAACTTCCACCCTGCTAATCTCCTCCTCTTTTTCTTGCCTTCTTAATTTCATCCCCCACTCCAAAAATTTCCCCCAAGTTGGAGAAGGGAGGGTTAGAGTGAGCTCGACAAAAAAAGCCCACCATGTTGACTCAGGAGTGGCTAGAGGAAGTGGCGGGAGTTGTCTGGGCTCAAATCCTGAAATGGTCATGGTCACTGGGGATTACAGACCAGGAAGAGCAGGGCAGTCCTGTTTTTTCTTCTCTCCTTCTGTTTTTCCCTCCCTTTCTGGGTTCAAACCAGATCAACCTCGCCTTACTACCTTGACTCCTATTACCTTCACTAACCCCAGAGCAATTCAAGGAGA